GTGAGTGAGTGAGTGAGTGAGTGAGTGAGTGAGTGAGTGAGTGAGTGAGTGAGTGAGTGAGTGAGTGAGTGAGTGAGTGAGTGAGTGAGTGAGAGTCTCCAGTCGTAATAACGCCCCAATCTGGCACGCGTGCCCTATCGCTCGGTGGCGCCCTATCGCCCGCAGTCAAGTGCCCCTATTCCTCTCCCCTCCTCCCCTCCTCCCCTCCGCAGGTGACCTATCATGAAGGATCGCCCCTTGCCGCGCTGCGCTCGGCTCGCCCGCTCACTTTTGATCGTGCGTATCACGTGGGTGTGGAAATAATGGTGTGGCTGGCGCAATGAGTCCAGTCCGGCCGAGGACTGTAAACGAGCTGTATGGCTATGGGACAAACAGGTGTCAACGCAGACGTAATTTTGTAAACAAAATATGTAAGGTAATAAGATACAGCAAAATCTTTGGTTTTCTGTTTTGGCCCTGTCGTTGTCAGGGATATGCCAGCATCCGGAAAACCTTTTCTTTCGTTACGGAAAATTTTGAGGACAACGAAATTGTTAAGAAAAATACTTAAATTCAAATAAATTTTGCTTCACTTGAGGAAAATTTTTCGCGAAAGCGAGTGAAAAATTTCTTTATCCTAAATTGGGGTGGTAATTTCCTTTATCCGTAATTGAATTGAGGCGGTGATTTACTTTGATTCAATAAGGATACCATTTTGTGGGTGTGGGTCGGGGTATATCATCGCATCCCCCGCTCACCGCTGCTCTGTCCGCGTGCCGCTCGAACCCGCAAGCAGGCTGGCTGCAGCACTCTCTGCCCGCCCGCCCGCCCGTCGGCGCGGTCACCACCGACCAGATGTGCGAGTAAAAGTAAAAATCATCGGCGAAACCGCAAAACAGCAGCAGCAGCAGCAGCAGCAGCTGTGCTCTGGTCGGCTGGCTGTGCGATGGGCTGTGCCCCCGTGGGCTATGCTCTTGCTTGCACGCGCATTACCGCCCCGCCCTCCGCCCGAGAACCGCATATTTCGCTGCCTGTATCGTAGGAAAACTACCACTTAGCGGCGGAGATGCCGCGTGACAATAATAATGTGTACTCGGGGAGTGAAAGTGCATCAGTCGATATGGGCGGGAGTCGGTCGGGAAATATGGATGTGCCACTGG